TAATTGAGAACTTTTTAAGTTTAAATACCAAAAATTTCTAATGATAAAATTATATAACAATTTCAACTTACTTTGCGTCCCAGAAATCCAATCTATGATGGTGACTTCTGTCTTTGGCTTTGGCTTTGGCTTTGATTGAATAGTACTTCCCCCTGTCCCCAGCTTTAGCCATTTTGTATGGTTAACATGTATATCTGGTAAACCTCTAATCTCATTCCAACTACCCGTATCTTCTATAGTCACAATCCTGAGTCTCTTACCTAGGATTCCAAATTCTGAAGTTCCAAGTCCTTCAATTCACTTTTCTATAAGGTGCTTAGCCAGACAGGTCAAATCATGAAGCCCTATTACATGGCTCCATTTCAAGCAAAAAAATACACAGAAGGAGTTTTTTCCCTGAGAAGTAACAATATTATTGTATATATTTGTGGCTTTCACATGATTTTTATAAACATTCACTCCAATTCTTCACTCCATCTGAACCAGCAATTTAAGTCCAAGACAAGAAAAAGGGATTCACTTTGGTTGAATTGTTATATATATTTAAATACGATTTTTCAAAATATCCCAGATCCTTTTCCTCTTCATTTTCCCCATGCTTCTCTCCTTATTTAATGTCTTTCAGTTAAGTATTGACTGCCTTTTGAGATAGCTTCATTTACAAAAGTAACAAAATTTCCTTACCTTCATGTTTGGAGAAACATTCAGAGGAGAAATTGTTCCACTGTAGACTCGGGGTGAGTTTTTCTACAGCAGGGAAATGCCAGCAGTCAGACTCCCTCTGTCTGTCCCTGTGGTGGATTAGACGCTCATAAATAGAGCAAGTGGTCCTGTGACTTAGCTCCTACCCCAACTAGATTCTCCAGGGACATGAAGAGCCTGTCCTGTACTTAGTCTGTGTCTTGAAGCCAGATGCATTTTATCAGTGACATAGGCCTGAGAGCCAGCTGGGACTGTTTGGAACTACGACTCTGAGAAACATATCTCCAAATCAGAAAAGGCAGTGAATGTTCTCAGATCAGTGTTTGAGTGATTTTCAACGAAAGAACACTCTGTGTGTAAGACAAGAGATAAGTCTCCTTCCTGTCTCAACTCTTAAACTAAGCAATGTTTTCATGGGTGCTCTATATCAGACTTTAGTGAGAGAAAAGATCAAATGCAGTTCTTTCACTCAAAATGTAAGAATATTCGGGATTGGAATTTTTTTCCTAAAAAAAAATATAGCCTAACAATGAATGTCCATCCCTCCATGTTCCACTCTCACAGCATGCTCATAAAGAGCATCACTTTTGCAAACACATTTGAAGGTGTCGCCAGCTTCCCCAAGAGCTTCCCTTAGTTCTTTGACATTTAGATCATCCTGTTGGAAGGTTTTTTTTTTTATCATAGATCATCAACCATGTCCACCTTATCATCTTTAGTGTTTACCTCTTCTTATTCTGCCAGGTTGTCATTTGTCCATGACTTTGCATTGATTTCAGCAATTTTCCAACATTTTTTTCATGATCTCATGAAATGCTGCATTTCTTTGCAAAATTTCAATTTCCTATTGGAATGAGCTATAGTTTTATTTGCGTTGTTTGAAAATTCCTGTGAGGACATTATGGTTAGGATAGCTATAAGTGTTAATTAGGAAAGGAAATTTGAGCTGAGACCAATTTTTATAAGTCAACAATCCATTAGTGGGTATTTTCCAACTTTAATTAAGTTTTCTTCCTATATCCAAGCTTGGATAATTTTCCTTCCAGAGATTACACTTTCACATCATTTAGTCAAACTGTTATTAATTTATGTGTAAGAAAATTTTGCCCCAGAGAAAATGACACCTGATTCCTGAAAGAAATATTTTTTTTAATTCAAATTCCACAGCATGAATTCCAGGGACCAACTCTTCTTAGGTATTCCATGTGCAATTCCTCCCTCAGTGGCTGTCTTCCTTTGGATTCTCCTAGAAGCATATTCTGAGACAAAGATTCAATTGCAAGTAGCTTTTTTTCTTGAGAATGATCCTAAAAAGTACTGCTGAGGGATAGGGAAATGAGTCTGGGAAGGGAAGGAAGTCAATATAGGGTACTTCACCAACTAGTTACTACTGTGGGTAACTGGAGCTCAGTCCCACTGAAGGGCTTTGGGAGACAGTGCAAAGTCCACCTCAGAGTTATTCCAACTAAGGGGTAATGTTAAAAATAATCAAAGCTCTGCAAACTTCAACAAAATCCTAGTCAATAGACTCCAACAACATATCAAGAAAATAATTAATTATGACCAAGTGGAGTTCATACCAGCTATGCAAAGATGGTTCAACATTAGAAAAACAATCAACATCATCCATCACATAAATAAAGCAAAGGAAAAGAACCACATGATCATATCAATTGATGCAGAAAAGGCATTTGATAAAATCCAACACCGTTTCCTGATCAAAACTCTCAGCAAAATCAGAATAGAAGGGAAATTCATCAACATAATAAAAGGCATATATGCAAAACCAACAGCCAACATTATTCTCAATGGAAAGAGACTGAAACAATTCTCCTTCTGAACAGGAACCAGACAAGGATGCCCTTTGTCACCATTTCCGTTCAATATTGTATTGGAAGTCCTAGCTAGGGCAATAAAGCAAGAAAGGGAAATCAAAGGCATCTAAGGAAGAAGGAAGAAGGTAAGGAAGAAAAAGAAATAAAACTATCCCTATTTGCTGATGATATGATCCTGTTCATAGAAAACTCAAGAGTTTCAG